TAAGGCGGTATTAGAATCCGTATATTCTTCAGGTGCTCTGCTATTTGATGCGTGTAAAGCAATATCAAGTGGTAGAAAGCCGTGGAATGTATGTGGGGATCTTAGATGGGAGAGGGCGTATGGGTCTAACGATAAATATATTTGTCCCAGTAGTAAAAATAAATATGTAAGTCCAAGATGCCCAAATAGAGATTATAACTTCTGCCCATATTGGTCTTGTGTGGGGTGGGCGACTTGGGGACAGACAGCAGACAAGGACATGATTGTGACTAAGTTGCCTACTGATCCATATTGTAAGTCTATGGAATGCAATCCAATCCATATACTTATAAGTAACCCTGACAAGTTCTTAGATAAATATGGTAATTTATTTGGGTTTCAAATATATGGGACGGGTTTAGACCCTGGGACAATATTGTTTATAGAGATAGAGACTGATACGGTAACCTCCCAAACTCATCAAGTATACCATTCCTTTTATGAAGAGATGAGCATAGATAATAAGATCCCCCATAATGCTAAAAACTTGTTCATTGATTTAGCCGAGAGTATTGCCGGTAGTCTTAATGTTACCAACTGCTATGTGTGTGGAGGTACTAGCATGGGAGACCAATGGCCTTGGGAAGCAAAGGAGGTAATGTCCGGTTCTGAGGCAGTTGACCAATTAATATCTATACAAGCCGACTATCATATGAGTGTTAGAGGTAAATCTGAGTGGAGATTGAAGACCTCCATCATAGGTTATGTTTGCATAGTGAGGAAAGGAATGATGTATAATACTTCTGTAGGAGAATTAACTTGTCTAGGGCAAAAAGCTTATGATGATGATACAAAGAATACAACTTGGTGGTCGGCTTCAAATGTCTCAGAACCATCTAACCCGTTTGCAAGATATGCCAATTTAAGGGACGTATGGTTTGATCTATCCATCACATCTAACTGGAGAGCCCCAGCGAATTTGTACTGGATCTGTGGTAAGAAGGCCTATTCGGAGTTACCACAGGACTGGGAAGGGGCATGTGTGTTGGGTATGTTAAAACCATCCTTCTTCTTGTTGCCTATTGAAACAGGTGAGACTTTAGGTGTTAAATTGTATGATGTGAATCATAGGAAGAAAAGGGGACCCATAGAGATAGGTGCCTGGGAAGATAATGAATGGCCTCCCCAGCGTATTATAGATTATTATGGGCCAGCCACGTGGGCAGAGGATGGTACCTTTGGTTATAGAACCCCTATTTATATGCTCAACCGCATTATAAGGTTACAGGTGGTGGTTGAGATCATTACTAACGAGACATCACAAGCGCTCAATCTTCTAGCGAAGCATAATACCAGGATGAGGACAGCAGTCTACCAAAATAGATTAGCCTTGGATTATCTTTTGGCAGTAGAGGGAGGTGTATGTGGGAAGTTTAACCTGAGCAATTGCTGTCTTCAAATAGATGACGAAGGGCAAGCAATAGCTGAGCTTACTAGGCATATGGTTAAACTAGCGCATGTGCCTACTCAGGTATGGAAAGGGTACAATCCAAGTAGTTGGTTTGGTAGCTGGTATGAGTGGTTTGGAGGGCTTAAGGCAGTGGTAGGTGGAGTCCTACTGTTTTTAATGTTGTGTCTACTCCTGCCGTGTCTTATACCCTTAGTAGTTAGGTCTGTGCAAAGCCTGATAGAAAATATAGCAGAGAGGAAGGCTGCTGCACAGATAATGGCAATTTATAAATATAAGGCTCTAGATCAGGGAGAACTAATGCAGGAAGACGAGTGTTGAAGATTCACATCATAGGATAAGTCTGGTCTGGTTCAAAGGTAACTTGTGGTGTATGCAAACCAAGGTTAAGTGATGCCTCAAGTAATTGTAAAATATCAAGAGGCATCAAAGGGGGGAATGTGGTGGAATCTCGGTAAAAATAAATTTAGTAAGCCGAGATTACCACGTGGCATGTGTACGTGCATATGCTGACGTATCGATCAGTTGGTTGCACGAGGCAAGATACGATCAGTAGTGTACGGAGCATGTGCAAGAATACAGGATGTAGTATTCCCCTCCTCCATTGTGCTGGACAAGCCATGCGGTCAAGCAGGAGGTTAATTCTTATTTGTAATGATTGGTCAAGAGAATGTGCGGGTGGAGCTTAATATGGGAGGAGTTATGTGCCTATATAGGGAGCCTGCACTATTGTTCAGGGCTCAGAACTTGCTGTATTTTTGGTGACATTAGTCCCTCTGAGTCCCGATCGGTGATCCAATAAAGAATCTCTTCCTTCCTGAAGAAACCTGTGTCCATCCCTCTGTGCTTTGCTTCCGTCAGTTTCTCCGGTATCACCAACACGGTAGTGTTTATATATTATGATTATTTATAAAACACCAACAGTTTTAAACCGCGTTGTACAATGGGTTCATGAGAAATAAGCAATATCATGTACAAGTTTGATTTGCAAGAATAAGCGGTAATGAAAGCCCTACTCAAACGAGCTTACAATCTAAATGTACATTGTATGGGCAATATTAAAACCTTAACACAACAACAATGAAAAAAAACTCTATAACAACACAAATGTCTAATGCAGCAAAAGGTTGTAGGTTTATTGTTAGGGGCTGGTTGGTATACAAAATAATTCTCCACCATTAAAGGTACACTATAGCAATTAAGCATTAAGCTCAGGGGTCACGTCCTGGGTAAAAAAGTGTGGGACCTCACCCAAGATCCCCCTCCCCTGTATGCAGGGGCTGAGTAAGGTGACA